GGACATTGAGAAGGCGTATGATAATGTGAGCTAGAGTTTCCTTCTTTACTTGATGGAGAGGATGGGTTTCGGTGAGCGGTGGAGGAGATGGATCCTTTTCTGCATTTCTAGTGCTCGCTTCTCTGTCCTTGTGAATGGGGCTCCGACGGGTTTCTTCTCTAGTTCGAGGGGATTGAGACAAGGGAATCCTCTTTCTCCTTTCTTGTTCCTTTTGTTATGGAGGCTCTTAGCAGATTGATTAAGAAGGCGGTCGAGTTGGGCTTTTTGAGAGGCTTTCGGGTGGGTAGGGATGCTGCTAGTCAGTTGGAGATCTCCCACTTAATGTTCGCTGATGATACTTTTGTGCTTTGTGATGCGAATGCGTCCCAGTTGAGATATCTGCGATGCGTTTTGATTTGGTTCCAAGTGGTTTTTAGGCTTAAGATTAATGTCGGAAAGGGCATTCTTGTGCCGGTTGGGGAGGTCCCTGATATCGAGACGTTTGCTCAAATTCTTAGATGTCGCACTAGCTCTTTTCCCATTTCTTACTTGGGGTTGCCTCTGGGAGTTCCTTCGAGGTGTGTGGGAAGCTGGGATCCGGTTGTGGATAGATTTGAGAAGAGATTGGCAGGTTGGAAGAAGCAGTACCTCTCCAAGGGGGCAGGGTCACTCTAATTAAGAGCACTCTTTCTTGCCTCCCTACTTATTTCATATCTCTCTTTCAGATTCCTTCTTCTGTGGATGAGAGAATTGAAAGATTGTAGAGCAATTTTCTTTTTTTGGAGGTGGGGAGAGGCGAAGAGTTTAAGTATCATTTGGTTCGTTGGGATCAAATTTGTTATCCGATTCGGAGTGGAGGTTTAGGTATTAGGAGATTGCAGCCTTTCAACAAGGCTTTCTTTGGGAAATGGCTTTGGAGGTTTGGGGTTGAGAGGAGTTAGCTTTGGAGGAGGGTTATTGCGCTTAAATTTGGAGAGAGTTTTGGAGGATGGTGTTCTTTTGAGGTGCGTAGTCCTAGAGGGGTGGGGGTGTGGTCTTTTATCCGAAAGGGGTGGGATGAGTTAAGCAAACATGTTCGTTTTCAGATTCGAGATGGGAGAAGGATCAGATTTTGGGAGGATCTTTGGTGTGGAGAGCGTCCTCTTGCTCTTGCTTTTCCTCGGCTCTTCAGGATTGCTTCTCATAGACAGGCCATGGTGGTTGACTGTTATCATCTTGATAACAGGAGACTGACTTGGGATGTTCAGTTTAGGCAGGATTGGGAGATTGAGGAGGTCACTCGCTTTTTGGATTTGTTGTACCGCCAGGTGATTACAGTTGGGGATTCGGATTGTTGGCTTTGGGATCCTACCTCTAAAGGCCGTTTTGAGGTTCGGTCCTTTTTCAAATGTCTTTCGCTTGGCTTTGGAGGCCCTTTCCCTTGGAAGTCTATTTGGCGGTCTAAGGCTTCTCTCAAGGTGGCCTTCTTTGCTTGAACCTCTGTCTTGGGTAAGATTCTTACTCAAGATAATTTGAGGAGAAGGAATCAGGTGGTGGTTAATCGATGTTACTTGTGTCGGAGCGATGAAGAGACTGTGGATCATCTTCTGTTACATTGCAGCTTGGCTAGGGAGTGTTGGGATTTATTGCTTGGTTTGTTTGGGATCCCTTGGGTCATGCCTCGCTCCTCTAGGGGGTTGATTGAGGCTTGGAGAGGTTGCTCAGTGGGGGCTCTCATTCAGGATGCTTGGAGGGCTGCTCCTCTTTGTATTTGGTGGTGTATTTGGCTCGAGAGAAATCGGTGCTATTTCGATGGAAAGGAGAAGCCTTCTTCTATGCTCAAGTTTTCTATTATTTCCACCCTTTTTTGTTGGGTTTCCGGGAGAGATTATAGATCTATTGAGGAGATTGTTGTTTTTTTGGCCTCTTTGAAGGCTTGAGTCGCTTTTTGGCCTTTCGTTTGTATTTGGATTTCGCTCCCCTTCTGAGTGCTTTCTTTATAAAATTTTTACTTATCAAAAAAAAAAAAAAATTCTATTATGCTTTAGACTTATGGCATTTCGTTGAAAACTATTAAGGTACCCCTCACCTCTATTCTTGCCCTGGTCCCTTCCAAGTAGAAGGTCCTTGCTCCACCCTGATGGCAAGGCATATGTGCACTTGTATATGCATTTTGGTAGGTGAAGTATGTGGGTGCTGATGACACTAACTTGCTTTGGAAAGCACCTGCCGCTTAGCAGTGAACAATGAAGGGTAGTACTAGCAAAAGGGCTTAAGGAATGTCATGTGTGATCATAGTTGGGACTACTTGCCGCCCTCCATGATAACATAACATATTGCTTTTCAATTATGAAAGGACGTAATTTTGTCCTTTAATGCTACTTTACATGGATTGGGGTATGTGTATTGTCTAAGTATTGACCTCCTTGAATCTCAAATCTTGGGTCTGAGGAGTGGACTTAAAATCTATCTAAAAAATGGGTATGGGTATGTAGAGTTGTGCACATTAAAAATATTATGTGCCATATATTAGTGTAATCTATGATGCTATTGTTTTCAAGGATATAATTAGACTTTAGATTAAATCGGATGTGGCGAAAAGAAAGGAGGTTTTCATCTATTTCCAAAGTAGACATTCTTTGTTATCAAATGTGAGCCTTTTATTTTATTTTATTTTTTTCTTTCTATCTTTATATACAGAGGATCGGATGTTTAATTTGGGGTTTGGGTATTTACCCATATCCCACTCTCTTATCACGTTGTGCCATGTTGACAAGGGTATGTTAAGGAAATAGGAGTATCCATGAAATGCATCCATTGTAATACTCCATTTTTTATTATTTAGGTGCATCTTTTTACTTATAAGGTTATATTATAACCTTCTTGTAATTTTGCCAAGCAAGATTATATTTGTAAGATTCAATCATATAATTTTTGCTGCTCTATTTTAGCCTCAGAATGAGGGCTTGTTGTTGTTGTATCTAAGAGTTGCCCAAAACAACTTTGCATGTAATTAATATGTTTGTTTCTTTTTTTATTTCATGTGTAGTAATCTGTAGATAACCATTCCACAATTAAGCTGTTCCAGGATGGAATATGGTGATCATAACAACTCTATACAATGTATGTCTCTACATTCTTAACAGCATACAACGACTGTTGCTTCATCCTCTAAAGCAATACAAAACTGAAGAAAATTATGAATTCAATGCATTATTGGTCAAAAATGGTCAGATGATGATCTTCGTTATGGCATAAAAACTACATCAATTATTCTTTAAGATGATCAGATGGGCAAGGAGAGAAAATAATACTGATTTTGTTGTTGAAACCCATGCAATTTGTGAATTATGCTTTGATGGTAGTATCATTGGAGTAGATATGGATATGATGCCTCTAGGTCCAGGATGCAGCAAAAGCAGTTATGTGAAACACTTAGAAAGAACGAGAAAACAGATCTTTTAACAGTTATAAAATATATAATCTCTTTTTTAAGATCCTGTCAAACAATGATTGGAGAAAAATGAAGAAGGGGGATGCTTGTTGCTGCAACCTGACCGAACTCGCTTTTCTATTTTCTCTTTCACCATAAACATGTAAAACTAATACATGTGAACATCTTCTGATAAAATATTGAACTTAGTTTAGTATTTTCTCTTTTACTTACATAAACATGTTTTTACCAATACATGCCAACATCTTCTGATGAAATATTGTTTACAGACTGCTGTAATCTTGCATTATTTGTTTATGGCACCATGGATCCCTTGGTAGAATAATGCAATGCCTATATATTCCTGTATGCTACTTATGACAATGATCATTATGCATCTAATAATTCCATCATTTAGGGCTTTATGGTGAGCATACTGGGCAGGTATTCTATGACTCGTAGGCTCAATCTTCTGATGGAATGATTTTATATGTTCTGAGAAATTTTTTTTTTTTTTTTTTTTCCTGCAAAATATTGTGGACAATATTGTTAACCACCATCTAATTTAAAAGCTTAAGCTGTTAGAGAGGGTGTAACTTCAATGTTTAAATCCTTCAATACGCTCCCTCACTTGTGGCCTTCTTTTGGTCCAACTCGTGTTTCAAATAATTATCAAGGTGACGGTGAGGTTTGAACACATGACCTTGACTGCTCTGATACAATGTTAACCGTCATCTACTCTAAAAGCTTAAGGTGTTAAAGAGTGTGTAACTTTAATATTTAAATCCTTCAATAAATATAATATGTGTTTGGTGGGGACAGTTTCTAGGTTTTAGTTTGGTGCTGTGTAGCTTTGAGGCTGTAGTTCTGAAAGTGCAGATTTTTTCTTAATTGGTGAATGGCACTTTTAAGGTTGCCCGGCCTATGGGCGGCATGTCTGGGTTGGACCTGTGGACGTATTATCTTTGAGGGGGACAAGTTTTTTGTTTAGTTGTAAATTGGATTGATAACAGAATAATTTTGTTTTACCTCACTTGTAAGTTAGTTTGATAGAAGAATATCTTAGATTAATAACAGAACATCTCCAAATCAAGTTCTCTCTTCCCCTCGCTTTACTTTGTTGAAATGCTTTGCTTTAGTGTGGTTGTTTGGAGCTTGCATTATCTGTCCCTTTTTATCACGACGCAAGTATATAGTTCAGCCAATTTTTTTATCTTTATTTGCAAGATATAATTTGAGGAAACATTGGGCTCGCAAGAAAATAATTTGAGCTGACTGTGTTAGGACGGACCAAAATGGAGATTATCTGCTAGCTAAGGCACAACTAAGGACAATTGTTTTAAATCAGTGGTGTATGAACTTCATATGGGATGTAAAGACGCCTTCCAATCTCCTTTATTTTGGTTGATCATCATGCACTTAAGGGTTCAATTAGGAATTTTCTGTACAGATACTGTATGGTCCTTTCAAGTTACCAAAATGATTACTGTTCTTTTTATTTTTATTTTTTATTATTTCATTTTTTATTTAAATAATTGGTGGGTAACTATATCTTATGCACCATATTATTTGTCCATCCTGTCTTACTTCTAACTGGCATATTTCACAGGTACATTGCTGTTGGAGATGAGCCATTCCTCCAAAGTTATGGTGAGCAATTCTATCCTTTTGTCGTCGGTGCAGTGATCAACATCCAAGCAGCTCTTATTAGAGCTAAATTGGCAAACAATGTGAAAGTTGTGGTTCCTTGCAGTTCAGACACCTTTCAGTCAGAGTCTGGCCTGCCCTCAAAAGGACATTTTAGGTCTGATGTCAACAGAACTATGATCCAACTCCTCACATTTCTAAGCAAGAATCGTTCTCCTTTCTTTGTTAACATTTCCCCTTTCCTAAGTTACCACCAAAACAGGAACATTTCCCTAAGCTTTGCTCTGTTTGAAGAAACTGCACACCATCGTAATGACAGCCATAGAACCTACAAAAATAGCTTTGACTTGAGCTATGATACCCTCGTCACTGCATTATATACTGCTGGGTTTCCCGAAATGGATATCGTCATCGGGCAGATTGGTTGGCCTACAGATGGAGCAACCAATGCCACTCCATCCATTGCTGCGAAATTCATGAAAGGCCTGATGGATCACCTTCATAGCAAATCAGGGACCCCACTCAGACCTCGAAAATTTCCAATTGAAACTTACATTTTCAGCCTTTTAGATGAGGATCAAAGAAACACAACCGCTGGAAGTTTTGAGAGACACTGGGGTGTGTTTACTTTTGATGGCCAAGCCAAATATCGTGCTGATTTTGGCCAGGGCTTAAGAACTCTGGTGAATGCCCAGAATGTCGAATACCTTCCTTCCAGATGGTGCGTTGTTAACAATAACATGGACCTGTCAAATGCAACAGCAAGTGCTTTGAAGGCATGTTCTGTTGCTGACTGCAGTGCACTCTCTTCTGGTGGTTCATGTTTTAACATTAGTTGGCCCGGAAATATTTCTTATGCATTTAACAGCTACTATCAGCAGCACGATCAAAAGGCTGATAGCTGTGATTTTGGGGGTTTGGGTTTGATTACTACGGTTGATCCGTCGGTAGATAATTGCAGGTTTTTTGTTGATCTCCAGACCTCTGCTTCAGTTTCCCTTCAGGTGTCCAATATTGTCAGTTTGATGCTCTTACTGACAACTACCATTTCACTATTTTTACTTGATGAAACATGGTCCAAACATCTCTTGTAAGTGCATATATTCCTAAAGGCCTTTTTGACTGGATGCATGCCTGTTGTTGTGAATGTTTCATGATTCTATTAGGTTTTTTTTCTTTCTTTCTTTTCTTTTTTTTTTTTTTTGGTGGACATTTCTTTTTGTTAGTTTTATGTTAAAACGTACTGTTTTTGTTCATTTTTTGTTAATGAAATTTGTTATTCATTTCTAAAACATAGTAATGGTTTCAGTTGGCTGTCTTGGCGAGCTGTCATCTGACCAAAACTAGTACATACTGTTCATGATCTCTCGTAGCTTTTAATCATTCTGTAATACAACTTACCAGGCATCCCAGTTAATCTATGTTACGGTACTTATTGGGTTGATTTATTTATTTAGTTTTTATGAAAAAATTAAAACTGAAAATACTTCGAGGATGACAGTACTCTGAAATTACAGACTTACCTATATGTTTCATTTAAATGAAAATTTCTTTTATTTTTTTCTGTACGCATTTTAAATTCGAACACTTATGTGACCAAATGTGGCCTGTATTTGGAGTTACTCGGTTTAATAAATTTTTGCTTGAAATAAATTCAAACTCTAAAATATAAGCCCAATTCTAACTAAGTGATAAAAAATATACATATGATCAATTTCTTTCAGAGTTACTTGGATTAACAATGGCCTGTTTTTTAAAACAGTTTTAATAAAAGAAATTAAAAAATTGTTTTCAGATAACTAATACTCTGGAAACAATTCTTTTTTAATTGAGTTTTTAAAAATTATCAACTAAAAATATTATTGTATAATTTTTTAATTTTTAATTTTCAAAAAATAAAAAATTATTCTAAAAAAACTGAACTAAGCATACCTTAATTTTTTTCTTTGAGCCCAATTCTAATCTCATGGCCATGCTGGTAAGAGTGAACAAAAAAATGAATTGGAACCGATAATCTGTAAATTTAAGTTTTAGTTTTGAGAGTTCGAGGTTCATTAGGGCGAACCAAAGAATAAACTATATATACACATATATATTAGGGTGAATTGCAAAAAAATACCCTCAACTATTATTCAATTGTGAAAAATCCTCTTATAAATATTTTTGGCAAAAAATTTCTCTCGACTATCCCAAAGGGGTAACGGGTGTTTTTAACAAATATCCGTTTAAGTGATTTTTTGAAACAATTGTTTTGATAAAATTACTCCTTAATAGATTATTCTCCAGAAAATGTTTAAAAATAAATGTGGAAAATGTTTACTTTTTATAAAAATAAATATTGAAAATGTTTAATTTTTATAAAAATACTCCGTAAATAAGGAATAAGAAATTTTTTAATTTTTATGTCGTTTTCTCATTTTCTCGATCATCTTTCACTTTTGAGGTTTTGAAAATTTTTTATTTTAAATTTGTTTTTCCCTTTCTTTATTTATTTGTACTTTATCTCACTATAATGACAACCCAAAGTGAGGAAAACCAATTTTAAGCAACCACCAAAAATCAATATTTGAATTTATAAGCTATATAACAAAAGCACCACTCAAGCCCAAAAGAAAATTACGAATATCCTCACTGCATATATTATAATATAAACAATCACCAAAATTCAAGCATCAGCATAAGATTCATAACAATTACAATTATCAAAAGAGATGCATGCACCCCATTTGAATATACATGATCATTTGAATATTAAATTTGGAAGATGCCATCTTCAACATCCATTTACTTTTATTGGAACCATAAATGGTATGACAAAAATTTGAATTGATAAGCCTGTTTGAATATGATAATAATAAATTGCCTGAAGAATACTATGTTAAGAGGTAATTTTGTCTGAAAAATTGTTTCAGAAAATCATTTAAACGGATATCAGTTAAAAATACCCCCTTAGAATTATCGAGGAGGATTTTTTTGCCAAAAATATTCATAAGGAGAGTTTTTCGCAAATAGGTAATAGTCGGGTTTTTTTTTTTTTTTTTTTTTTTTTGTGGGCAATTCACCCTATATATTATAATATCGATAATATTAAATATAAGTGAAAGGTTGGAAAATGTGTATGGGCCTAAGCCGGGTCGGATGCAACCCAACACGTCCTACCGCTGGGCTGCACATCATCCAAAAGGTCCAAAAGACAGGCCCAATTCATACAAAATTTAAAATAACAAGAACGAGCCTCCATTTGGGTCAATTTGTATAGGCGGACCACCCCATAAAAGAGGGAGGCCCATCAACTTTCAACCTAGAGAAAAAAAATATATAGAAAATTAGGGTAAATATAAACTTTTATAAATAGAAGTGAGCGAGGAAGAAAGAGACAAATTGTTTGGAGTGTAAGAAATATGTTCTTAATATAGAAAGGCATTTTCTTACATCTTCATCTGGTGCCATTTATTAGAAAGAACAGACTAGCCAATTCATTGATTTCAACGATGAATGACACAGCTCCAATCAGGAATTATGATCGGAGAGGAAGGCTCCCGCTAGCAAGAAGAAGACCAATGGTTAAGGCATGACGAACTAGTGCGGATCATGGAGACTTTACGAAGGGGAACGTCGAGCTGAGATCCAGGATGAAATGAAGAGAAACTCCACCGCACCCTTGCCCACCGATCGCTGATGAGCGAGTGGAACCTATTAGAGTTATTAAGCTTCTCGTGTGTGTTGCATGACGGAACTTGAAGGAGAACTTCGTTATAGTGGATGTGTATCCTTCTTACAACCTCCTGATGGGAAGAGGGTGGATCCACCGAGTACAAAACGTTCCGTCCACTCTGCACCAGGTTATGAGATGTTTAAGCCCAGACGGAAAATAAGTGATTGACATCCAAGTAGACTAAGTTACTGCAAATGAGTGTTATGTGGTGACACTTAAGGCCAGTGGGAAGGGCAAGATAGTCGCCCAGTCTGCAAGCACAAAATAGCAATTACAGATCCCTTTGCCCCGAAAGGGAGAATTGAGGGTTGATGAGCCAATCCTCACAATGGAACCATTAGAAGAAGTACAAATTGATCCCCTAAAACCTACAAGAACAACAAAGATAGGATTGATGCAGACCATAAAAGGAAAAATGATTGTTAGTCAGCATCCTAACCTAGAAAGCAAACATATTCGCCTAGAGCCACCTAGATATGCCGGGAGTTAATCTATCTCTATCTGTTGACACCCTTTTTGGTAAATTTTGTATTAATGACATAACAACCAATTTGGGTATAAATTGATACGTGAAAAAGGTTACAAAAGCTACATTCAGAGGCAAAGGAGATTAAAGCATTTGAATTATTTAATGGATAGGGATTATAATTTTAGTATTTATCTTTTAGCTGATGTAAGTTAAATATTTATATTTATCTTTAGGATTAGTTTATTTTAAACTTATAGTTAGTTGGGTTATCGATAGGATTATATTTTATTTAAAATTAGTAATTTGTTATTTGATAGAGTTTGATGTATTTAGAATGCTTATGTATAGGAGCTTGTTAACATTTTATTCTATAAATAATCAAGGAGGTATGCTGAGATAGAGGTCCAGCACCCTCAGAATCATTATATTATTGTGTTTGCTTTTTCAAGCTCTTTCCCTATTTTTCTTTATCTCTATCTCCCTCCCTCTTTATTTCAGTTTCGTTCTATTTCTCTCCTTATATTTCTATCTCCCTATCTGTTCTCCCTATCACTTTCTTATATCTATATTTTATCTCCTTTCTATTCTCAAATTGTTACTATAATTATTCACTGTTAAAGTCTTTTTAATTAAGCCAATACTGAACTCGCAGAGGAGTATATTTATTCTCTTTCTCTTCGCATCGCTTGATAGTCAATATTCTCAAAGAGACTACAGTTGACAACTCACACTCGAACCATACAATTGGTTCTGGCACGCCCGCAACATATCAATTCCGAATCGGATCTTAGGAGCCGATTTTAGCGTCAACACTATCATATCACTGTCTTAACGTAGATCCGAACTTCAAGGCCGTCAGGCAGAAACAAAGAAGGTTTGCGCTAGAACGAAGCCAGATCATAGCAAATGAAGTGAACAGACTGTTGGAGGCAGGTTTCATTAGAGAAGTTCAGTACCCTTCCTGGTTGTCTAATGTGGTTATCGTCCAGAAGAAGAATGGAAAATAGAGAGTTTGCATTGATTTCACTAACTTAAACAAAGCTTGTCTCAAAGACTATTTTCCTTTACCAAAAATCGACCAAATGGTAAATGCAACCACTATGTATGAGCATTTAACATTCCTAGATGCACATTCGGGCTATAACCAAATACCTATGCACCCGGATGATGAAAAGAAGACCTATTTCGTGACATAGTGAAAGACTTATTACTATAGGGTGATGCCGTTCGGCCTAAAGAATACAGAAGCCACATATCAGAGGTTGGTCAGCAAAGTTTTCTAGGCCCAGATGGGCAAAATTGTGGAGGCGTACATTAATAATATGGTGGTAAAAAGTAAGAGAAATGAAGATTACCTTTCGCATTTGCAAGAAGTGTTCGATTCATTGCGTAAGCATGGATTGAGATTGAACCCCTCTAAATGTTCTTTCAGAATTGTTTCTAGATAGTTCTTAAGGCATATCATCAATAGCTGGGGGATTGAGGTGAGTCCCACCTAGGCAGAGGCCCTAATGAGATACCATGGAGCCATTATCCCTAAGGAAGACTGGCCAAAAAGGAATAACTGCTTCAGCATTACAAGCGGGGACATTGGTATCTCAGTTGGTTCTATTCCCCGGTACCCTTTTCGCCTCAGACTTGACCAATCATCATCCCCCTCGTTTATCTCTGCTAGTATCTAACCCTTGGACCTCTCAGAAGTAGTAGTGGTAGAAGTAGGGGCAAAATAGACCGGAAGGGCAGGCAAAGCATCTGGATTAGCAATCATGGACCTGTCATTCCTCCTTACCCTACCGAAGGTGGGTATCAAAATATCCTCCATTATTGATGTTGGGCGTGCTGCAACTGTAATCTTCCTCAGAGCCTCTTCGGATAAGAGAGTAAGGGCATAAGGAATGTTATTCCAAACGGACGACTACAAAATCCTAAGCCTCGCTCTACAAATCTCGAAATTAAATAAGTCAGAAGAAAATCCTAGATGATGGGTAAGGAAACCACAAAAATATGGATAACAAATTTAACATGTGTACTCATAAGAATGTGTCTTGTAAGAAGTAAAGGCTGTAAGAGTACTCATCTCGAACTACCTAAGAATGACAGGTAAGGGGGTCCGAGGAGACTTCCAATTACCCCCTATGACAATGGGAT